TTCCTTCTTTCTTTCCTCTGTCCCTTCCTTTCCTTGGTGACACATGAGCTAGAATGCAGTATTGGAGGGTGATTCTGCCCACTGCCAACAGTTCTATCCTGACCATCTCAAGGTCGACTCAGCCTTCCATCCTTCCAAAGTTGGTAAAATGAGGACCCAGATTGTTGGGGGCAAGAGGCTGACTCTGTAAACAGCTTAGAGGGGGCTGTAAAAGAAATATGAAGGGGTATATTAGTCTAAGTGCTATTGCTATTTAGAGTATTTGAAGAATTGTTTAAAAGTGCCTATCAAGTATTTTTCCCCTTCAGGTTGGAGACCCTCCTTTAGGTATTATAGCAAGTGGGCAGCTCTGTTTGGGGCCATCATTTCTGTCATTATCATGTTCCTGCTAACCTGGTGGGCTGCCCTCATCGCTATTGGGGTTGTGGTGTTCTTGCTTGGATACGTTCTTTACAAGAAGCCTGGTATGTGCCTCCTATTTTTATATATATATATATAAATTAAAAAACTGCTCAATAAAACAATGAGCTGATCTGAGGTAATAACTGTTTTCCCCCTCAGGCGTTAACTGGGGCTCATCTGTTCAAGCTGGTTCCTATAACATGGCGCTGAATTATTCTGTGAGTCTCAACGAGGTAGATGACCATATTAAAAATTACAGGTAAGGTTTTGTGAGCCACTGGGTTTCGATGGGCGACCCTGCCGGTGAGGTTAAGTGTACCTCCCCTGATCTCAAAAGTTTACCAAAATCAGCTTTCCCCTGCAAGAATCTTGGTGCTTGGTAGAAATCCCAAACTCCATTTTTCCCCCCGTATCCATTGTTTGGCTACACAATTTGCCCATGGTTCCATCCATCAGGAAGATCCATGATGGAAATTCAGATGCAACTATGTGAATGAGGACAAAACAAGGGCAAAGGGAGGCTGATGGACCTCTCCGCCTTGGCCTTCAGCTGAGAAAACCTGGACATTTGTACACCACTGGTAGCTGCTTGTTGCAATTGTCCTTCTTTGGTGCTTTCTGGAACCCAACAGCAGTCACATAGAAGGACTGGACCAGTTCCATGCAAATAGTTAAGTACTAATATCTCCTTGTTGTATCTTCAGGCCTCAATGCCTTGTCCTAACTGGTCCTCCCAACTTCCGCCCAGCCCTGGTTGATTTTGTGGGCACTTTTACGAAAAATTTGAGTCTGATGATCTGTGGGAATGTGCTGATCGTGAGTATTTGTTCCTACCAGATAACTCAGAAAGTGCAAGTCTCTGCTGTCTTTATCCATCTAATTTCCATTGTCTACCTACCTATTTTGTCTGTGTCCATCTGTCTGTCCATCCATCCAGCTCTCCAGCTATCTAGCTATTATCTCTCTCTTTCTCTCTCTCTCTCCCTCCCTCCCTCCCTCCCTGCCCTCATAAAGGACAATATTTATAGCTTGGGGTTGAAATGAGGAGTCTTTGGTGCTTTTTGAGCTTGCTTTTTTTCTTGCAGACATTTAATTACTATCTGTCTGTCCTCTCTGTGTCTATCATCCTTCTCTTCCTCCTCCCATTTCCTCCCATTATGTTGTTCCTGCTCAAAATGCTTGCTCCCTCCTCCTCCTCCTCCTCCTCCTCCTCCTCTTTCTTCCCTGTCCCTTTCTTCTTCTTCTTCTTCTTCTTCTTCTTCTTCTTCTTCTTCTTCTT